GCCCCCATGTTGGGCTCTCATTTTCTAACTTCCCACGACCCCCGGCCCGTCCGTCTCTCGACTTCCTCATTCTTTTGTCGCTGTCGTGCCGCGTTTGCTGGTTCAAGGGCCCTTTGGCCTTAGTCTTGTTGAATTCAAACGGCCCTCCCGGCCTCATGTTACGTTTTATGTGCCCCTGTTCTTGCGCTCATTCGTTTGCCATTGTTGGTTCTCTCCTCCTATGGTTCTCACCCCAGGGCATTACTCCCTCCTGCGGCCTAATCCTTTGTCTTTTCTCTCTCTTTCGTCCTTACTCCAGATTTCTTTGTCGTGCACAATTTGTCTATATTCAGTCTCTCGAGTGATGGGAAGTTATTCGGGACCCACTAGTCCCGACACATTCCCCCCATTCATTCGCGATATCCTCATCTCGCACCAATTTCTTGTCAGTCTGGGAGGGATAGATGGGAGAGAAGGACGAAATGTCATAGGTGGTTAGTTTGCCAGGGTTCGTTTTGTTTTTTCCCGTTCCTTTCTCGGATTTTTCCTAGTCTCCGATCCTCTGAGCGAGGAAGGGGTGTATAGGATTCAAGTTTCTTTGTCCTTCATGCATCTCATGTCTCATTCATCACTCTCAGTACATTAGATCATTTTCATCCCATTCATCACTCTTAGAATATCAAACCCCTTTCGTCTCATTCATCACTCTTAGAACATCAAACCCCATTTTGTCTCGTTCATCATCCTTAGAACATCAAACCTCCTTCGTCTCGTTCATCACTCGTAGTACATCAACCCCTCCTTCCAACTTTCCTCTTTTTGCTGCCTCTGCTTCTCCCCCGAGCCTTGCCATCTCAATTGGCATTTGGTTGATCCTCCTTCCATCCCGTGTCAACCAGGTCCTTTTTTCGGCTTCCGTCACCCTTAACGCCTCTTCCACTTCGACTTTTCAGCTCGTGCAATCCATACTTCCCGTCACCCCTTTCCTCGATCTCAAGCACAACCAAATCCACGTGTATTTCTCCCGGGTCATTTTGCCCAACTTTTCTTTAGCCCTGCTAATTCCACATGTATGTCACCCTCATTCGACCTTTCTTGCATCCAACTCAATTTATATCGCATACGCGTTACTTAATCCATTTCATATGTATCTTTATTCTGGACATCTTGCCCGGTCTTTCTCAAGTCCACGCGAAGTTAATTACACAACCATTTCTCTTTTGGACATCTTGCCAAGTCTTTCTCAAACCTATGCAAAGTCAATTTACACAACCCTTTCTCTTCTGGACATCTTGCCAGGCCTTTTCCAAGCCCACGCAAAGTCAATTATACCACTATTTCTCTTCTGGACCTTTTGTCATGTCTTTTCTTCAAGTCCACGCAAAGTCAATTATACAACCATTTCTCTTCTGGACATCTTGCTAGACCTTTCTCAAGCCTACGCAAAGTCAATTATACAACCATTTCTTTTCTGGACATCTTGTCAGACCTTTTCTCAAGCCCATGCAAAGTCAATTATACGACCATTTCGCTTTTGGACATCTTGCCAGACCTTTTCTCAAGCCCATGCAAAGTCAATTATACAACCCTTGCTCTTCTGGACATCTTGCCAGACCTTTTCTCAAGTCTGCGCAAAATCAATTATACAACCCTTTCTCTTCTGGACATCTTGTCAGACCTTTTGTCAAGCCTGCGCAAAGTCAATTATACAACGCTTTCTCTTCTGGACATCTTGCCAGGCCTTTTCTCAAGTCTGCGCAAAGTCAATTATACAAGCATTTCTCTTCTGGACATCTTGCCAGGCTTTTTCTCAAGCCTGCGCAAAGTCAATTACTAATCCCATTCTCTTCTGCACGTTTTTTTCATCGGTAGATGGCATACCTTCCCCCCACTCGAAATGCGATGTCCCCATCGCACGACTGGTTCTCACTCAGAGGTACGCAGACCTTGGCCCACCAACTGAGTCAAGAACAACGACCCACCTGCTCCTAGAAGGAAGGGTGATCAGTCCTCCCTCGGCAGGTAATACCTCATCCTTCTACTTAGTCCGACCTTTTGCCGCTTACGAGACGGGCATCAACACTGAGGTACTACCTCACAACCGGCAGGTAGGTCCAGTCCAAACCTCCCAGGACCCCGTCTTGCTGTAAAGGTTTTCTCGCGAATCGTTCCTCCCGAGTGGTGTTTTCTTGGATCCGGCCTCTTCCTTTTAAGAGAGTTGGGGCTCTCTATTAGTCTGCGAGTGTAGTTACGAATACCTCGCAGTTAGTCCCAGAATGGTTGTAATGATCCGGCAGGGGGACGTCACTCGCCCTGTGGTGGTTGCGGCTTCCACCTGATATCACGCCCGACCCCTCCCTCTGGACAGTGCCGCTCAACATAATGCTAGCAACCTTGGTCCATTCCAAACGGTCACGCCACCCCTCTACGACATGACGTGTGGTTGGGTAGAGTAAATGAGACTCGGGAGAAGAATGGCTTTGTCGCTCGTTTGGCTCCACGCCCTTGACGTTTAGGTTCTCAACATGAGGGAGCTCCCCGACTAGAGCTCGTTGTCGGAGTTAGTTTCGGACGGCCAGCATCAATCAAAGAGAACGATGCTTTGGTCCTTCAACCCTTATTTTTCCTTATGAGGAATATGTTGCGCTGAGACTTTTCCCTTGACGGGTAGAGGTCCTAGGGCCGCGGTGCATGCATTGCTATCCCCCTTATGTTGAGGCCTGAGACTAGAAAAAAAGAGAACTCAATCTCTTGCTATTTCCATGGTCGGTCTGACGACCTTTCATCAAATTGTCTAGGGTCCCCTGACTATGCAAGGCAATATCCAATTCTCAAATACTCAATCCAATGTTATTTCCAAGGCTGATTCTCATGGCTGATTCTCATGGCTGGTCCGACAGCCTCTCATCAACAAGGCCAACCCTTGTGGCCGCTCTGGCGGTCGCTTCCTCAATAGCCATCTTTCAAGGGCCGACCCGTCGGCCCACCTTCAATTCTCAACTTTCACATTCCCCAATATTCATTCCTTATGACCGTCCCAACGGTCTATGCCCTTCTTGTCTTAAAGCTCAACCTTCCTTACCCTTCCCTTCTTTTCCCAAGGCAACATTCTCTTTCATTCATCCTCATGACTATTTCATTGACCGACTCACCGACCTTTTTCCATCTCTCATTGCTCATTCCAACTCATTCTCAATCAATCTTTCTCAATCAATTATGCAGGGGACCTCAGTGCCTATTTCAAAAGAAATGACCCTTGTTAGGGGTCATTTCCGAACAACCTGGTTAGGGTCATTCTTTTCCATTTTCAAATCGAACAGCCTGGTTAGGGTCATTCCTTCCCATTCTCAAGTCCAATAGCCTGATTAGGGCTATTCCTTTCCATTCTCAAGTCAAATAGCCAGGTTAGGATCATTTCTTTCCATTTTCAAGTCGAACAGCCTGGTTAGGTCATTCTTTTCCATTCTCAAGGTTAACGCCCGAGGGGGTGGGCCTTGAGGACACGGATCCCATTTCTGTCTCGGAGGTTAAAATGTGACCATTTCTTTTCAATTTTCCGCGTGTGGTTCCCCTCATCAATTCTCAAGGCAATTTACTATTCATGCATACATCCGACTTAGCGTCTAGTACTCGAGTTGGGGTTTGCAACCCCAAGCAGCACCAGTCCACCCGGCCGTTCAACCATAGCAAACTCAGAACTTGGCTATTTTCAGACTCATTCATGACTCAGTTGGATTAGGCTCCTAGGGAAGGAGCGTTCTTCACTCCCCTTAACCCATAGGTTCCCTAACCTCTCTTGTACTTGGCCAACATTCACGTCTTGCTTTGCTCGTCACTCTGTACTCACAGTTTTTCTTCTCAAGGGCACAATCATCGTTCCATCCAAAGTTCACAATACACCCTTCCCAACCAGTCTCATCCCATACCCCATGCCATTGTCTTGTCTACACACTTTCGAAGGTAGCTCATCCGAAAAGTAGCCTCAAAAGGCTATCTTCTAACCCATCGTGATTCACGCTTCGCTAGTCTTTTTTATCCCACATTCCTCACAAGCTTACTCATACTATACAAACCCTATCATCCCATAATTGCAAGAAACGGAAATCACAATTTCTTGTCCAACACTCAACAACATTTAATCCCTATTGCTGTCTTGTGCCTGAACTAGCTCGGTCCCTTGTCCATCCTGTCTTTCCGCAGGCTCTTTGACTCCCAGGCCGGAGACCATGATTTCTCTCCTCCTCCGTGCAATCTCTTGTAACTCCACCTCGTTGTAGAAATCCAAGGGTGTGGCCACCATCCCTGCCTTTGCGAGTTCCCGGGCCTTGATAATCCACTTATGTTTGATCGCACTGAGCTATTGTTGAAACCAATGGTTGGGCGTTGGCCCAAACTCATCCTCCCATCTGAAGGCTCCTTCGTGCGGCTGGTGTATCGGGGGCCGCCTCTCTTCTCTAGGCCTCGAGATTTCATCCTTCTCATCCCTACTGTTGATCTCTATGACCTCCTGTACTTTCTCATCCTCATCCTCCTCTTCTTCCGTCTGTATGGGGCTATACCCACCCGTGAGGTTCTTTGGATCGTAGGTATAGGGAATTTTTGTCCTTGTTCCATACCCCTCTTCAAAGCTCAGGTACCTCCTCTCACAACTATAGTGGCCACTCCGCTCCTCATGCGGGCCTTCCCCTCTTTCTTCCCCGTCCTCACGTCTGTCACACACGTCTTGTCTCCCCTCACTTCCCCCATGGCAAGACTCACGCTGCTCGCATCTCTCGGCCCCTTCCTCATCAGCGGCCTGAGCCTTGTTTCCCACATCTGCTTTGCCCCTTTCTCCCACACTTGCCCTTTCCTCCTTGCTCTCACTCTCAGACGAGATATATGTACATTTTCCCTTTCGGAGGGGCGAGGGCCCTCTACACACGCGCTTTCTCGCACCCGTGCCTACCACTTGCCCGGATATGAGCCCTATGTATAACTTTCTTTTGCCGTCCTCCTCCCTCGACTTGGTCCCGCTTCTCCCCCTTTGGTAGGCCTGTTGATTGCCCCACTGTCATTCTCGTTGCCGAATTCCATTTTTGTTTTTTCTTGTGTTTTTATTCTTAGTCCTGTATAACAAAACAACACCCGCCAAACCCCTCATACACCCGTTTCCCCAGTCCGGTAGGCATCTCCCCTTCCCCAGAATGCTCCCAGTATCCTTCGCATCATGTCACTATTATGCATTTCCCTCTCTCATGCAAATGCCCCGTTTGTGATGATCACATTATTTCCCCATAAAAAATTATGATACAATGCTCCCGACAGTCTTTCCCGTCGTCACACAAAACCCGTTATCGCAAAATCCCAAGTCATCCTGCCTTCCAACCTCATCCAGTCCAAACCATTGCCTCAGCCCCCAAAAAATGACAGTCCTACAGACGCAGTCAGAGACAAAACCATAGTGTGGGCAAGGCCGTTGACAGTCCTTAGTTTGTAGCCCCTCAGTTTCCTTATCCTCGGCCTCCTGAAGCCATTGGTCCACTGGGTCCAGACTTAGAAACCTGATCAATCGTTGCCCCGGGAAAGGTCCTTTCAATCCTATTCCATCCAGATCTTCTAGTTCGAAGGTGTTCAGTCCCACCCACTTGGCGACCCGGTAGGGACTTTTGAACCTCCTCCCCAGCTGTGCAGACCAAGTAATTTCTAGTGTCGAGTTCCTTAGCAATACTGTCTCTCCCACCTGAAGAGACTCCTTTCTGACATTCTTAACCTGGTCCCACCTTGCTTTGTCCCTCATTCTGTTGTCTAGTACCTGGTTGGTGATGTCTTCCATGACCTCCTCATTCTTAAGGATTTGTTGACACCTTGCCTCGATTAACTCTTCCGTGGTCATTCGCGGATCATCATCTAACCTGTTCCAGGTAGGTATCAAGGCTTTCACGAGAAAGCCGATCTCTTTTCCGTACCAAAGTTCTGTTGGGATACATCCCGTTGTCCTCTTAGGTATCATGTTCTCTGAGAAGACAGCCTGCTTAAGATACCTAGGCCAGCTCCCCAGATGGTCCGCCGCTAGCTTCGCAATCGTGTTCTTTAAGGTCCGGTGACCCCTTTCCACAGGTGCATTGGCCTCCGGGTGATGTGGCTCGATTAGTTTGATAGGCACACAAAGCCTTTTGAGCATTCCTAACACTTCTTGGTTCACAAATTCTGTCTCATTGTCCGCTATAAACCTCTTGATGAAGAGATGCATCAAGTAGAAATCTTCTATCCAATTTGCTACACTTCTCCCTGTCTTTTTCTTGAGAGCGACCACCTCTGCGAACCCACTCAAGTTGTCTCGCGCATCCAGGATATATCTGTACCCATCCGTTGATACAGGCATGACCGCAAGGTCAAGGTGGACCAGATGTTCCAGCCCTAGCACCTGCGTTGGTCTAAGCGGCTCAAAGACACGTGCCAAACTCCGTTCTTGGTAGATTAGGCAGGTCTGGCAGTACGTGGCGACCATGCCTGCCATGCATGACCAATAGTAGAGTGGCGTTATCTTCGCAAGAGTTCCTTTGGACGATCGATGTTCTCGTGCTAGTCCATCGTGCATTGCCTGGATCACGTCAAACTGCCTAGGTCTCCCGCACACAACTCTTCTTGGCATAGCACCTTCCTCTCTTCGGAACAGATGGCCGCCCCTTAGGACGTACGTCTCGGCCTCCTCCCTTGCTTTAATGCTGAATTCCATGGGTTGTTTGTTTCCTATCAGCAACAATCCAATCTCCCGAAAGATCCCTTCATATATCTGGGCATAGAAAAACTTATTCCCTTCCTGGTCCTCATCCTTTCTCTTCTGCGTTTGGTTTACCATCCACCACAACTCTTTTCTTTCCCAAGATTTTTCTAAGCTCGTCACGACTTCCCGGCCTCCCTCGACCGCCATTGCTATTAGTTCCGCCTTTTGTCCTATTATCGCTCCCCACGAATCTTTCTCCTCTTTGCAACCTCGCGTGGTGACTGGTCCTTCTCTAAGTTCTGCTACTACGGCAGGTGCCCCCTTCTCCAAAGTTCGAATCAACAGTTCTCCCGACGCGCATTCTTCGCCCATCATTTCGTTATCCACCGCAAAAATTTCTCCTTCATATTCGAGAAATGCGTCTATAGGCTCCACATCCTCCACCCCTTCGGGAGTGATGCAGACCCGACTCAACCCATCGGCCTTGTTTCTGATTCCAGCAATCCGTTCGATCTTGTAATCGAACTGCCAGATAAATCCTACCCATTTTCCCATCGTCGGATCTATAAGCCTGTAATTCTTTAAGGCCCCTGCAACATTCGTCGGATCGATCCTAAGGATGAACCACCTCCCAAATAGGTAGGCCTGGAAGGTCTTGAGGCAATGCAAGATGACTAGGACCTCCTTCTTGAACTGTGAGTACCGCCGTTCTACGGAGTTCAGGGTTCTACTTTCGAACCTGATTGGTCTCTCTTTTCCCTCCTCATCCCTTTCAATCAGTACGCCTCCTACGACCAAGGGTCCTCCATCCGTTTCTAGGATGAATGGTCGTCTCACTTCGTCATTAAAACAGGGTGCTGACAAGGCGACTTGTTCCGATGTCAGTATGTCCTTGAGAGTTTGTACGGCTCCTTCTCGCTCCTCCATCCAGTCCATGGTCCCTTCTTTTCTAATTATGGTCCGGATAGGCTCAACAATCTTGGCAAAATTTTTAATGAAAATCCTCCAAGAACTGACCACGCCTAAGAATGTTATTACCTCCTTGTCGTGCGCAGAGGTGTTGACCACTGTGATATCTTGTCTGTCTTCACCGGATCTGGCTTCCTACTGTAAGCACCACAACGAAATCCTAGTATGGTCACTTTCGGTACTGCTAGAATACTCTTTGGTCCGCTAGCCGTGATGTTGTATACTAGGAACCGGCGGAGTAAGTCTTTGATGTTCTGTAGATGGTCCCATACAAATCTTCGGATTTCTGGCTGAACTTCCTTCTCGTTCTTCTCTTGAGCGCCTTTGATCGGGTTGTCATCGATGTAGGGCTCACACCTCTCCGGGAACATGTCCCCGGCTATGGCGAGAATTCTCCGTTGCCCTTCGGCTACCACGTTTGTGAAGCCCATAGGGGTCACTTGCATCTGCAATTGGCCTACCGGGGTGTGCATTGCGGTGTACGGCCTGTCCCGAACGTCCAATGGAAGTTGGTCGTACCCTGAGTATAGATCTATCAGGGAGTAGATGCTCCGGCCGACGTGCGATTCTGCTAATAAATCGGCCTGAGGCAGTGAGCCAGCATCCTGGATGGTTACCGCATTCAACTTCTGCAGATCCTGAATGCATCTCAGCGTCTTGTTGGGCTTTCGAAAGACGAATTACCGGTTCGCGTATGGCGACGCCGTAGGTTCTGCGACGAAGGAGTCCATGTTTGCTTGAATAAGGTCTGTCACTTCCCCCGCTATCCCGAACTCATAGGACGAACCCTTGTCATTCCAGCACTCATGCTCTACTGTGTGGATTCTGACCGGAGGAATCAGCTTCGCGTTCAGCCGCCCCTTTTGGTGATCACTAAAGGCAAATGCCTAGTGAAACTTCTGGCAGGTTCTTTTGATCAGGCGGGTTTCTTCTTCTGTTAAGAATCCCTCTACCCCTATCTTCATTGTATCAGCTACCTCATCTAGTATCTGATGCTCTTCTTTTGCTCGCCTCTCTCGGATCACTCGGAGGACTTCCTCCTCCTTCTCCATAGCCTTTTCCTTTGATGTCTCTAGCAGGATCGAGACCGGTTTTGCTTTCTTCCCTACCTGCTTGTACTTTTGAACACTTCCTTCCGGGATCTTTCTCCTAAAAAATAAACGGTCGGAATTGCCCTCGTCACCCCTACGATTCGCGGTTGAATACTGACGAACTTTTTATTCAGGCAATACCCCTTTTGTACTTCTCCTTCGAATTTGACCAATGTCGCCGAGTCTACTCCTACGTTGTGGTATCTGATAGCCTTGATGAAATGTAATAAATCAGGGATCTCGAGTGCGACTTCCGGCACGTCCATGCACACTTCTTTCTGTTTGGAGAGGCTGGCTCCGAGTTCGACTTCTGATTCTCTTTCTGCCACCATGACACCTAAGACTTCGTCCTCATGCCTTCTCTTCTTCTGGGGCAGGCCCATCTTGATCCATTCCTTCTTATTGAATGCTTCCTCAATCATGATTTATACCCTTTCTTTTATATCCTCCATCCGTGCAAAGCCCCCCTTTCGTGCGCTATCCTCGAATGACGGCGACCACGTGGCTAACTTCCCCTTCGGAGGGTTTCCTCCCATCCCAAGGAGTCAAAGAAGCTCCCGACGGCCTGTTACGGGATCCTCTATATCTACCATGTACATGCCATCGTGCAAGTGCATTCCTATCATCTCTACGTTGGCGCATCATGGTCTCCAGAGGATTATGTCGTGGTCCATTTCCTCCATTATGGTTATCCATTGAAACGACCAGATCGACTGCCTGACTCCTGCCTTGACCGCACATTTCATGATATACACAGCGAACGAAATTTTCCCACCGGCTCCCCGGATGCTCCCTGTTACTTCCTTGTTCACCGTGCAGCCAGCGATCGTTGCGAAGTCTCTCCTTATGAGAGTGATTTTCGCTCCCCGTCTACCAATGCGTCGGTATGATGAGTTCCGATCTGGATTTTCAGCTTTCCTACGGGCAGCGCATGGAAACTTAGCTTTGTTCCGGGGGGTGCCCTCATGACCTCGCCACCCTCTCGGTCCGGCAAGCTCAGGCGGATGTCCGCAAAAGCTTTCTCGAGATCCTCCAAATCCCCGCGGCTTAGCGACTTCTTGTGGAGCTTCCTCCTCCCTTTCCTATTCGGTGATTCGGGGTTTTCGTCTATCTCTACTCGCCGCCGAGTCAACAGTTATCTAAGCCATTTGAGCAACTTAGGGCTGGCTTGCAGCATAGTCTGGAACGACACTGACACCATTGTGCCCAGTAGTTTGCTAAGGGTGTCATCGATCTCGGGCATGGTTAAGATCGGGATTTGATACCTAAACTTTTTCTTGGCAGCGGTAACCTTGTCTGTAGGCTCCTCTTCCCTAGGCTTCTCATAGACTTTCTCTGGTTCCCCGACCTCGGGCTCTGCTTGGGGCACGGAGCCTCCAACAACCTCCTCCATCACGGTGTCACGGATAATCCTTCTCCCAGCCGTCCGTAGCTGAGTAGTCGCGATCACCCTATCACGTCCGTCGTTTTTCATAATGAAGTTGACTTGCGGCCCGCGTCCCCGAAGTTGATCCCAGATAATGTCGACCACCGGCTCAGCTTCTACGGCCGCTATCTCTAGCCCATTGAGCATGATAATGGCTCGCCGCATCTGCCCTGGCGAGTTCCAATTCACGCGTTCTCCCTGCGGTTCGAATATCTCTCCCTTTAATGACCTGGTACATCTCCTTTTTAATATATTATGGTTGAGTTCTGGACATGCGCGCACAAAATGTCCCACCGCGATGCAGTACTTGCATTGCTCGTTAGCGGGATCTCTCCGTCCGAATCATCGGTTGGCTACTCCTGGCGGAACTACGACTTCCTGGGGAGGGAGGGCGGGTCGGAATACTTGCGCTTGCATAACCAGCAACGCGTTTTCCACCCTCTCAATCTTGTTGTCGACTCCGTGCACTCGTTCATGTAGACTTTCAATCTTCTTTTTTACCTTGTCACCTGTCCTACCGGTCAGATCTATGACCTCCCCTTCCTTGAGCAAGACCAATGTCTCGGTCACTACGGTCTTCTCGGCCAGATCCGCTACCGTGCTAAAATCAACATCCCTGGTGTTCACAAACTTGCTCGTTTGTTGGCAGGCTGACAGGATCTTGTCTTTGTCAAACACGGAGAACTGCCTTAGGAAGTATTTGCTCATTATCCGGTCCATAACCCTGGGGATCCTTAGTGCTACCAGGGTAAACTCCCGTAGGAAGTCATTATACGTTGCGAAGTTCTTCCTCTGAATTGCCGCTGGGTCGGCCTCCATTGCCATCTTCTCCGCTGCTAGGTACTTTCTCATCATTACATCCCGGGTTTCCTTCCAGGATCGACTCGCTGCTATGATGACCATTATGTCCCGCCCCAGGCTCAATGACACATGCTGCCCTAGGTGGTCCATCTTTTCTTCTTCGGTCCATTTCAACAACGCGGTCTCATTCTCGTAATCAATTAGGAATTTTATGATGTTTGCCCCATCAAAGGTCAACTTTTTCTTAGCGTCTGTCAGGTAGCCTTGGTTTTTGTTTAGTGCTCGCGCAAGGGACGATACTATCTTCCTGAGGCCGCCTTCGGAGCTACTGGCCTCACCCGCCGTACTTGTATCATGCCCTTCCTTGCCGGCCTTCTGTCCCTCCCTAGTCTTTGCAGTTCCTTCCGGGTCGAACCACCCCAACACCCTTTCCCTAGGGCTCCGGAGCCCTTCACATCGTAGTCGGCAGACGGCTAGCCCTGCTATCTATAGCTGGCGGGTTAAGAGATTTCTCTGTTTCCATCCCCGGGGAACTCTCTCTTTTCTTCCTCCTTTTGCTTGGCGTCCCTCCGCTGTCATTATCCTTAACCCCTTGTCTACTTCCGCCTTGGCCGGCTTTCTGCCCATCCCCCGGTTCCTTCTGTGGGGGGTCCTCCTCGTTCTCAATCACATTTCTTCAATCAATCTCGCCTTGTACTCTGCGGTCCTTTTTTCTATTTCCGCTAGCTTACGCCTTGCATCCGAGACTCTCATTTTGTTGGACACGACTCCCTCTAAATTTTGGGGGCTTGTCCTGTCCTTGTTCCTACCCTCCCTGGTCTCCTGGATCCCTTGCTTGCTTCCCCCGGCTTTCCCCGAGCTTTCCCCAAGCTTTTCCCTGAGGAGATTTCCTTCCGGTTCCCCTTGGTACCATCCGGATTTATCGATTCTTTGTCCTTCTGACCCTCCTCGCTTTGCATACCGCTGTCTCCTAAGCCTGGTCCTCCCTCGCTCCTACGATTATCCATCTTATCTTCTATCGCCATTTTGCCTAGTTTTGCATAAACTAGAGGATTCCCCATGATACACGCAGAGCGAGGCATTTAGGTTCCATAGGTTCCGATCTCGGCGGTTTATCTTTATTCTGATAGTAGCCTTCTCCCCATTTCTGTCCCCCGATCGCTTTCCTAAGAAGGAGCCACGACCGGCCATGCTGCCCTATCGAGCTATCGACTTAGTTCCCTTCATAACACGCTCGTTTAGAGTGCCCCTATTTCGCCAGGCTGGCACGTAGGGGTCCTGGTTGGGCATCCTTTTAGGACAAGTTTTCCCAAGCAGTATTCCTTTTTTTTCAACTTTCAGGGTCACAACAATCATTAGGAGTCTACCCTTCCCCCTTTATTCTCTAGCGGTTTTTTATCGTCCGGGTCCGAAGGTCCTTCCTTATTCCCATCGGTGAGCCCCTGTACGTAGCGGACTATACCTAATTTTCCCCATTGGCCTGCCTCCGAATACTAGTCCCGCTCTCGTCCTCGTGGCTCTTCCGGTTCGGTAGGCTCCTTGAATAGATGAGCCATCCCTGCCAGATAACTCTCCCCTATCTCGATTTCCCTCCGGATTATGTGTTCGTATTCCGCCGAAGCTAGCCGTGGCAACCCAAATATCAGGATATGGATAACTTTCAGTAATTCATGGGCTCTGTTTTCCCATAACGGCCCATACTCCACAGCAACGTCATAGAACATCCCGATGGTCTGATAAGGGAAGTGGTCTACCCAAATAATTGTTGAGTCTGCCAGCTCCTACGCCCTTGCGAGGCTCCCGAAGATGAGGTCTATCATAAATCGGGGGACCCGACACCTTAGCGGTGTG